CAGTCGGTGTTCGAAACCGGGCGGCTTCCGGGGTTCACTCAGCCTCTAGGGAATGGGTACCAGAGTGATACTCTAGGGTAAATGGAGGAACGTCACTGTAGCTACAGTTATGTGCGAAGAACGGCGACACAGGCGGACAGTTCTTATCAGCTGTCCGTTCTGGTGGCAGAGCACTTATGGTTTATAACCGTGTGCAATGACGCTGGTTCACATCTCCCGACCTAACCTTTTTTTAGATGAAGCGCTGCAACAATATCAATTCCACATCTCTGTTTGGCTTTAAATACTGATATGGTTGATAACATTTTTTCACACCAGTTTAGCTTTAAATACTGATATGGTTGATAACATTTTTTCACACCAATAGGAAGTCAGGAAAAACTGGCCAACAATCTCATATCCCGATTCAGAGATGGATGTTCATTTTACTTCGCATAAGTGATGTCCAACATTCAGATAATAACTGCCTTTTATGTCCAGTCACAAGAATGATATCAAAAGGCTACATGGTCAACTTTCTTTTTCATGATGATCAAGTGAGCATGATCTTGTCTCTCCAAAGAAAGTTAAAAAAAAAAAAAAAAAAAACAAGTAAAGATCCCTAATTACGCCTTAGGCGCATCGGGTATATGGGCAGAGCGACTTATATTTTTACAGACCAATCGGCACTAGATAGGTAATGTGGTCAGTATTACGCCGGCCGACTTTACTTTAGGCTGGGTCGACCTGCCACGCCCCATACCACGATGAAAATCCTTGCAGCCATCAGTTGGTTTCCATCGCGGTACGTTGGATCACGAGTCGGACTCGCAACGCCTTAGCCACGGACGCTGCTTCTCTCCAAAAAAGGGGCTATTAATTCAAATGTTGCCTTCACGAGGAATTATCAAAATTTGAAATCCCGGAAGAGAAAACATGTTAACCCCACACCCTATCAAGATTAGACAAGAGACTTTAGGCGGTCCGTCCGGTCTTTACGCGTCATGCAAGTTAAAGAGTGCTGGTCTAAAAGACAATGTGTCCCAGTGGCAATGTTACGCTCTGCGTGCATTCTTTTTCATACTATATTTTTGAAATAATAACCTACATGCAAGTAACATGAACTGTATACACATCTGTTTCCCTTTCATGTATTTACTAGTTCCATCGAAGTCGTAGATCAGTGTCCACCAAATTTAGGAAAATGTTGATGAAATTGTGAAATAATAATAACAATGATTAAATGTTACTGCAGTTTTTGTTTTCTTCTAACTTTAAGGTATTTTATTTTTACGAAGTCTCAGATGTTGGAGAAACAAACGTATGCGTGCGTGCGTGCGCGCGCGCGTGTGTGTGTGTGTGTGTGTGTGTGTGTGTGTGTGTGTGTGTGTGTGTGTTCTGTACGATTCATATCTCAAGGATGAGAATGCTGTTGTTGCGACGCGTGAGAACTTGCTCTTTGATCCAATACCATGTATTGAAATTTGCATGTTTTCACAAGCTGTTCTTTTCCTCCGTACAAAGTGTTCCACGTGTCTGGTCTCGGAGGGAGTAGGTTCTTCTAGTCTCAATGACTTTTGTGCATTCAAAGAGATGATGATCAACAGTTTCGAAGAGGTAGTTACATAGCTGGCACTCTGGGGAGTGTTGTGGCTGTATTCTGTTAAGATGTCCACTGAGTGGGATTTGAATTGTTCTGAGTCTGAAGATACTGGCCTGGTTCCTCCATAAGGATGAGAATCAAACAGCTACAAATCTCGAAAACCCTGTTCAACCGTGTAGCCATATCGAATAGTTATATTTGGGCACCACAAAACCGTGACGAAGCAATCTGTAGTCTAGCGTGTATGGGCATATGATGTAAATCTATATTCGTCGAAGTCGAACCACGTTGGATGTGTAAGTCCCTTTTGTTCGGCATTTAAAAAATACACATTAGTTTAATTCATCATGGTTTATTCTTTTAGGGTAACCCAGAAGTTTTGTTGTCGTGTTTCGATGGCTTACTTAATCTCCCTTTTATCTTGTAGTGGTTTTTATAAAAACATTAACCAATAAATTCCAGAAAAGGAAAGAGCTGCACTGATGCAATTTTTACTCTTCGGCAAATTTGTGAACAGACAATCGAATATAATAAACACCAGAATCTTATATTCATTGATCAAGAGAAGGCTTTTGACAGGGTTAACAGAAATAAACTATGGAACATTCTTGAGGAATATCGTGTACCGGGTCAATTATTGGGAAACATAATGGCTCTCTATCAAAATAGCCTAGATCGCTGTAAGAACAACAGAAGGTATGACAGACTGGTTCCCCATTACATCAGGAGTACGACAAGGATGTGTCCTATCACCCCTACTCTTCATCACATATATGGATACAATTGGACAGGAGTCAAACCAAAACACAGATATTATAAATGAACTACTCTTTGCAGATGACCAATGTTTGTTACAAGAAGAAGAACAAAAACTACAACAACATGTTGATTCCTTGCTCACTAACTGTACAAAATTTGACATGAAAATAAACACCTCAAAAACTGAAGTAATGACCATAGGAAAGAAACACAGTAATATAAACATAAAGATCAATGACATACAATTAGAACAAGTTCAAGAATTCAAGTACTTAGGATGCATATTTACAGAAGATGGAAGACTCGATAAAGAGATACAGGCTAGAGTTCAAAAAGCCAATGCAGTCAACTACCAACTGGCCCCACTTATTCGTCATCCAAAGATCTCGTTACCAGCCAAACAACGGATGATCAACAGCATTTTCATCCCTACATTATGTTATCAATGCCAAACGTGGACAATGAACAAATCACATATGCAACAAATAACTACGTGTGAAATGCGATGTCTCCGAAGAGTCACCAACAATACACGAAGAGACAGAGTCACAAACGTCAGCATTAGAGACAAAGTTGGAACAAGAACATGCAAGGAACAAGAATGCAACCGGATCCGATTGCCTATAAGGCTTTTTACACTAGAACATCGGGAAGAAAGGCCCGAGGAAGACCCAGGAACTTCTTCTTCTTCTTCAGCGATCTCTGGTCATGCGCATAATCCACTGTGGGTCATAAACTGGGATGACTTTTCAAGGTCTCTTAGGTTTCCCCAAAGCTTAGTTGTCATTTCTACTGGGTGTTGCCATATGTCGCTCCGCAGCTCCGGCAGGAGAGGACAGTCTTGCAGGACATGTTCTGGAGTCTGTTCAGCACGAAGGCACCGGCAGAGAGCTTTTTGGCTCATACCTAATTTATGTGAGTGTTTATTGAGTCTGCAGTGTCCAGTGCGTAAGCGAAAAACTGTGACTTGGTCTGTTCTGTTCAAGTGTTTCAGAAAATCTTTTTCGTAGTTATAACCAGTGTTGGTTTTCCAATCTGTTTCTGATTTTCTCTTAATGAGAGTTTTGACTTCTGGAAAAGATAGTGGCTGGTAGGTCTGTGTGGTTTGTTACTGCCTTCCTTGGCTAAAGCATCTGCGCTTTCATTGCCTTTGATGCCACAGTGTGACGGAATCCACTGCAAGTGAATTTCTGCCTTATTTGACAACATAGCAAGTTCATGTGTTAGACTTTGGACCCAGGAACACATGGATAGACGGAGTAGCTGAATACGGCCAGAAGATCCAGAAAACTGTCACTCAAATCCAGCGAGATGCACAAAACAAATATTTTAAACCACGACACTGGGCTGCAACCCGGTAAAAGTGAAGAAGACAATAGATAGAATAAATTCAATGAACCTAACCCACAACAGCGACCGTTGGTTATTGCATCGTCTTTTGAATTTCTAGTCTGCTTACTGAGCTTAATCTATAATGTTTAGCAAACCACCAGAGGGATTTTTGTAAAATGATGTTCATAGAGGGATAGGACGAAGTGAAAGTCCGTCGTTGCGGTGTTCCAATGTTGTCTAACTCCAGCATCACGTACAGTTTAGTCTATTCTGTATCTTTTCCATGCTTTGATATGACAGGTTCCTGTTTCTACATTATTACTGGCTGTCGTCAACCATAACCCGGCAGCAGTCAAATACAGTAGCATTATCAGATAGTTTTTCCATTTGTCCTGTTGACAATGAGATCCGCTGTAGCGCAGTGGTTAGCACGGTTGTCTGCCGTCTCAGGGGTGCCGGGACTTAGAATCTTTGGCCCCTAGAGCCCCTTCTTCTGAAAAATGTTAGGGGTGATAAATGGCAGCAGAAGATACGAAATAATAATAAGAATCATAACCATGATAAAAATGAGTAAGCGATGAGTCAACAAACCTGATCGACAATATCATGCCAAACTATCTATTTAATCTCTGAGTGTGTCTTAATTCTTGTCCCAGTTATGTATTTAAAGTCGTCTAAATGTAATACTGTAGGGTTTAGAAACAGAAGCTTAAAGAATCAATCAGCGACTAAAGGAACGACTTTTCAGTTGCCGATCCAAGAGGAAGAATCCTAGTAACCACGTCCAGTCGTATGAAACGGCCATAATAGGAGATCATAATGTTCTAAACTAACCTGGTATGCCATATGGGGACAGGCGATGCGTCGAGGGAACGGGGGTGGGTGTTATCTCACCTTGAGATTACTCTGATGCTGTTGGTTTTTAATCCTTTCGATCCAGGATTGCAACCTAAACAATAGACAATCAGTGACTCCAGGAGCGACTATTCTGATGCAAATCCAACAGGATCATATTCCAGAAACCTCGTTCAACAGTTATATTGGCTTAACTGGTTGGTAATTGTCTCCCCCCCCCCTGGATTACAGTATGTAAATTAACACTCCAGTTATGAGAATCAAACAGGAGAAAATCCCAGAAACCCAGTTCCCCCGTTTGAAACATATAGAAGTAACATGCAGTCCAGCAAAGGAAAGGAATAGTTAACATACTGCCCACTATGGGTGAGTAATTGATAACTACGATGTTAATTACCCTAGTTAACATGAACGTGATATAATACACATTATCAACCTAGCCAAGTATTGCATAAATCAACCTGCTACATGGCTACAACACTACGAATTCTTCTGATTCTCCAGCGAATGTCTTTTGTCCATACTCGTCCACGTGATAGTGCTTGATCCTGAGCCGCTTGTCAGCAGACGCAGTCCGTTGACCTGCGCTGGCTTCCCCACGATGTCCATCTGAGAATGTGAACAAAGGGTAGACATTTCTTTGCTTGGGAGGCGCAATGAACTGCAAAGGAAGACAAATAAATGGGGTGGGTTTCTTCCTAGATGGTAACTAAACTGTGTTAGAGAAGATTGAAATAGGGGAGACAATGAATGAAAGACATTTTTCTTTTTGTGTGTACATTCAATAATGTTCAGTTGTCTTTAATGCGATGAATAAAACTGTTTGGATGAGTTTTTCATTATTTCCATTTTTTAAATGGGAAGTTTTTATTTAATTTTACCCTCAAATCACTTGACCCAGAAAGTTGACTCCTGTGTCTGGTTTTTTTTTTTTTTTTACGTAAGCGTACGTTGAGAATGCATTGCAGCGGTGCCAGTAGCATTTTTTTCTTCTAAATACACCTGGGCCCAGAACTCTTCATGTCTTCTTTCATGGTATTTCTGTTTTTAACTGCATTATTCGCTAATCTCAAGCAGATTTAGAAAAAATTATTGATTACTGCCGTGGCACCCCGGCGTATGCTTGCGGTACCCCTTGGTGCCGCGTCACTCAGTTTGAAAACCGCTGAGCTACAGCAACTTTAAAGTGTATCATAATGGAGGGGGAAAAACAACTCCAAACTATAGGCTCTGACCTAAAGAAAATAATAGGGGAAGGGGGGAACCTAAGGGGCCGACTTACAATAAAAAATTCATTAGAGGAAAAAAAAAAAAAAAATAGAAAGAGGATGGGGCTTCAAAAGGCCTAATTCTTTTGAAGAGCATATTTATTATTACATTACAACAACAATAATTTTGTGCTGAACGGCAAATAAATATGATAACATACTTAAAAAAAATGTGAAATGTATTTTAAAATACTGTTAAAGATAATGTATAAACGCAGTTAAAAAGACCTGGGTGTAGGGGCAGGGGTGCTGTTAATTGGCTCACATCCGGAATAGTGGCTGTTCTAGTCATTGGGGGTGGGGGGGGGGATGTGGAGGATGAAAGAGGTTATAATCTCAGTTTTTTTTATTAGCATCGTAATACCGGGGTGCCGGGTTGGATCCCAGCTGCAGGCAGTTCGGCAGCAGACCGCTTGCGTAGGCTTTGACAGTGGTATCGAGAGCCGACCGTTTAGTGGCAATGGCAAACTACTGAACGTAAATTTGCCTACAGAATCCACATCAGTGAAAAAAAAAATACCTGGGGTTTGTTCTGCAATATCATGTAAAGAATACGAAACTATTTGATCAGCATAGGACTGCTTGGTACCTCAAGGTATTGGTTGGTACAACCGTTTCAAGTGTCACAATTTTTATTTTCTTGACGGTTTAACAGGATATCTAGAGTTTGCCGAATTCGATTGCCTTCCATAATGCTATTCGTTGAGTCGCAGGGTTTCAAACCCTCGGGTACGAGCCTGGAGGGGAAAACAATCAGTCACGTTTTTTGTTTTTGTTTTTTAATGTTTTAACATTCTTCCCCTTCCCGTGTAACAGGGAACCGCTTTGTGATAGTCGGTGTGGCCGTTTCGTGTGCCATAATCTATAACTGCTTAGAAGGTTGAACCACATCACCCACCAAGTGCAAATTGGTCTGTAAAACATAGGTCTAGCCCTATGTGCCCAACACGCCTGAAGGCGTGGAAAAGGTTCCTTTACATTACTAGATAGTTGAACGGGGTATCTGGGATTGGTCTTGTTGGATTAACATCCGGGAAACCACAAGTCACAGATTAAAAATTTATGATCCCACTGTGAAGAGTAAACACACACAGATAATTTTATTCTTGATAAACATAACACACCGAATTCCTTCCCCTGTTTAACTGTCATCATCAGAGTTTGAAGTTTTAACAACGGATCAACATCATGGCACACGGGTAAGTAATAGTAAGTAAAGTAAAGATACCTTTTCACGCCTTAGGCGCATAGGGAATATGGGAAGAGCACCCATATTTTTTAAAGACCATCGGCACTAGGTGGGTAATTTGGTCAGCATTACGCCGGCCGTCTTTACTTCCCCAGTACAGTCATCATGGTACCCGGTTTAGGCTGGGTCGACCTGCGACGCCCCATACCTTGATAAAAATCCACGCAGTCAGCAGTGGGTTTCGATCGCGATACGTTGGAATTACGAGTCGGACTCGCATCGCCTAAGCCACGGACACGGCCATGGCACACGGGTAATAACCTATAAGGGTCTCGTTCTACTTCTAACTCAAATCCGAATACGAAAAATCTCAACGCAGTGCACGGACTCCGAATCCCAGGCGAAGGTCCTGAAATATTTTAGGTAGATTTTTAACTACAAATTTTGCCCAGAAAGCGCCGTTACTGTCGTCATCTACTTCATGTACCGTACTGATAAGCGTATGCTGCCACGTTTCGCCTTCTTACATGATCACCGGAATCCCGGATCACACCAAGGTTCTTGTCTGGCCTCCTCTCTATAGCTAAGCCACGCAGCTATTATTTTTCTTCTTCTGCCTTCATATTGCTGTCTTTCCATGTATCTTGCCAGTCGTTACCAAGCTCTTGAGTCCATTCCTCATTACAACATGTCCAGAAAACACGGACTGGCTACTTCTTGTACAAATACACATTCTAAAAAACTAAGTGGAATGTATAATATTATACCTCTTTAACGTCCTGTACAAAGTTTTGAAAATCAGATGCATTTTTAATGTAGAAGCCCACAGTACAGCTAGGGTCCATTTTGTGCATGGGTAGCTTTCTTGGTGTCTTGCAATGGAACGTCTGGAAGAAAGTAATTCCATATTTTTATTACACACTCCCCTTGTGGGGCAGGTGGGGGCAGAACAGAATACTGCCCCTACCCCCTTTTTTTCAATAAGCATGTTGTAAAAGACAACTCATTAGGGGTGTTTCCTTCGAAGTCATAGCGTATCTGACGCATCTGTCGAGACATTAAGAACCAACAGTCTGCAAGCAAAAAAGGCAGATTCGTAAGACGGATGCGCACGTAAAACGCAGGACCTAGAATTAAGCTAAGTCCAGAAGTGGACAAACAGCCCGGAATTTCCGTCGAAGTTTACAGCTGGTGAACGCAAACAAAAAAATATTACATACATAGATATCAGGAATAGCCAAATCTTTTTTAAACAGCATACAACAATAACAGATGTTTAGAGAGTTGAATAACACATTAGAATGAGAATTCTGAAAATGTTGTATATACTCAGGAGGTAATCAATAAGAAAAATATCTAGGCAATCAATAGTATCAATAATTATAAGATAAAGAAAGTGGCGTTACATTGGACACATTCTTAAAAGACCAGTGAGAATCATCAAACAGGCATAAAATGGGAAATTAGAGGATTAGGAAGACAATGACGCTCGAAAGCAACCCTAAAACAAACGTTGATGAGAGAGGCCAAAGCTGCTGGACTGGATCCTATTCATGATTTTGAAATGCTTCTACAGGATAGAACAGAATAGAGGAACAGACTGCGAGCCCTATGTAGCGCATAATGGCACAACAAGATAATGAAAGAATGTATTCACAGGGCTCTTGTTTCTCTACAAACAAGCAGTTAGAAAAAGATTCTTTAGAGATGTGGATATACAGAAGAAAAGGTCATACTTGGTGGAAACAATCAAACACAGAGGTTCTGGGGATACCACAAAAAAGTTACGAGAGAAATACTAAGCCATATACAAATTCATAAAACGCTTATAAAATACCACAAGGAAAAGAAAAGCTGGAGGCAAGCGAGCAATAGGCAGATAGCCATATAAGTGGGAGTATAACATCAAGAGATGGACATAAACATCTGAGAAAGAGTACATCAAGGGCGAAAGACAGAGCCATTGGAGAACCATTGCAGTCAACCTTCATTGTAGAGATGGCACCTGTTTTATACACAAACTTTGTGTGAACGAGTTATTTTATTTGCTTTATAACAAATGTATTATATCCGTGCTCCCATTTTTTTTCCTACTTACATGATATCATACTCACTTGATATTTAAAGTGTTTCTTTCCTGACTTACTGTTTTCTTTATCCATAACATCTTATTTTTTTTCTTTTTCTCATGTTAATTTTCATGTTTTATGCCTTTTTATGTTTTGTTATTAAAATCGACGTTACTGCCCACTGGTAATTCGCATGCGATCTCAACAGGGCCGGATTCAGACTTGATAGGGTTCGAAGCTGTAAATAGCCATGCAACCCTTACTAAAAAAAATAAAAAATAAAAAAAAAAAAAAAATATACGCCCTTAAAATATATACATGATGGAAGTATGTTGTCCTTTAATTTCAAATTAAAAGAAATGGGTATCTGTCCGCAGAATCATATAAATTATAAGTACTTCTTTCAGAGGCGTGTAAGGGCGGGCTCAGACATTAGTGTTAAGGTTGGCTAGCTTCTCTTCGGAGAGGTGAAACGTGAAATTTAAGCAGCCAGAACGTAGCAGGCTAAAAAAAAAAAAAAAAAAAAACGGAGGTTTTGAATCTCCTCTTAAAGAGCCTGTTAAAAGAAAATTGCACTCGTGAACAACAATAAAATAAGAATCTGTTAAGCCACTGTAGATCATAAGCTGCAGCTTAGCTTATGTCTAAATTCAGCACTGGTTCTGTCTTCCAGTGCAGCAGCCACTCTAGGTACCTCTAAAGACTGTACCAATGCTGTGTTTTGATGATCTATGTGCCTCTAAAGCCCTTACTTGTATCTAGATGTTTAGAGAAATAAACAGCATATTAAAATCAAAATTGTGAAAGGTTGTTTGTGCTCAGGAGTGAAGAAATAAGAGAAATGTCTGGGTAACGAACAGGGTCTCAGAAAATTCCGATGTTTGGTTCACAAAAGCAAATGAGAAAAATGGAGTCATTATGAGGAGTACACATTAAGAGTTATGACAGACAATCTCTCACCTCAGTTTTAAAATCCGAAGCAGTTGTATCAACTGCATCACGGCAAAGATGTGGATCTAGGTAGAGCAATTTATTGTCTGTAAAATAAATACAGGCTCAGTTTAATTCATATCTATAACATTGTAATAGTACAGTGTCAGATGGGATTTTTATGAGACAAATCACCAAAAGCTATCAGTTATGGTTAGCACAATGCCACATCTTGGAGTAGCAGGGTAGGGGTGTCCTCTATCAAAGGAGAAGTAAGGCGCCCTCCTTCCTCCGCTAGCCTGCGGGATATACTTACCGTCCGGTGTCAACATGGTGAAGTGGTCTGCGGTTAACGACCCGACATGCCCGCTGTGCAGAGCGAAGCAGAAGTTAGAACGCGTGCTGTCCGCATGCAGAAAAGCCCTTGGTCAAGGCAGATATACCTGGCGCCACAACAAGGTGCTTAAAGAGTTGGCAGCTGTTGTGGACCAGGCTAGGATGAGGGCCAATGGGAGGGCCAGTCCTACCATCGTCCCCATACGTTTCCTCAAGACTGGGCAAATTCACAAAGGTAGAATCAACAAAGACACACACGTTCCATCTATGCTAGACTCTGCGAGGTACTGGTTACTGGCGGTTGACCTGCCTAGCCATGAAAGGTACCTTGAGTCAATCCAGAAGACCAGCCTGCGACCTGACATAGTTCTCCACTCTGCGGAGAAACGGCAGCTCATCCTGATTGAGCTGACCGTTCCGTATGAGTCGCGAATGGACGAAAGCCATATGTACAAGCTCGAGAAGTACTGTGCCTTAGCAGCCGGTCTGAGGAGGGACGAAGCATACACAGTAAGAGTCTTTGCCGTCGAAGTCGGCGCAAGAGGTCTTGTTGCCACTTCACTATACAATGTGATTAAAGAACTAGGCTTACGTGGTAATGAACGCAAACGGACACTTAAACATCTGCACGAGGTTGCTGAGGGAGCCTCGAGCTGGCCCTGGACACAACGAAACAACGTAGGGGACGGGCCTCGGTGAGCTGGTCCGGCTGTCTAGCGGAAAGGAATTTCTCATCCCTTAAAAGTCAATCACGTCCGAACTGTCTGCCAGTGTCCCTCTGCCACCTGCTAACAAAGTCTAACATGTGTCTGGTATACCAATCGAAAGCTTGCCGCTCGGTGGTCCAGGTATGCAGACTGCTTTAATTATGCTGCCGCGACGACTTCTTATCTCACAGTACCTTTTGCAAATCACCAATTCATCTTGTCCCTGTCCGAATAACATCCGGTAATTCGTGCAGCATTGGAAACCAACCCTGAGCTTCATGAACTCAGGTGGGTCCACTCTCTGAAAATGTCTAGGAGCTCGTGGGCCGAAACCTTTGTCGACGAGAGGTTACTTCTACTGATGATTGGTAGACCCCTGCTGTACATGCTCCCCTGTGGAGTTTCTTCTTACTTATGTCAAGACGGAGTACTTGTTTACAAACCCTCCCCCCCCCCACCTCTTTTTTTTTCTCCCATGACCCTTCCCCCCGCCCAATACAAAATTATTCTAGAATGTATTATTATTATTAATCACACTGATGGAAAGGGCGGGGAGGTGGGGGATAGGGAGAGGGGGGGCGGGGGGCAGTGCATAGGGATAGGGTTAAACTAGCTTGCTTAGGATGTCCTGTTTTCATCTCAAAATATTAGTGGATTGTACTTTTTTTTCAGCTCGTGACATATAGTCACCCAACTTCTTTGATGGTACACGAGGATATCGTCTGCATACTACATTGTTCTTCCCATGCTCTATACACTGATGACCCCTGTTATATACAGATTGAACCGGTGACAATGATGATCCCTGGGACAGGCCCACAAGAGCACATTGAGGTTTAAAATACCGGGAACAACATTGCAACGACACTGTCTTTTGAATAGCACCGATGTGATCCAGTTGACCCATTTTGTCTCTGTGTCGTACATCAGCAATCTGATAAAGATGTTCTATGGGACGCAGTTGTACGCATTGTCTAAAGCAGTACTGGTCTAGTCTAAATCAGTGGCGTCTGTAATGCATAATTTTCCATTCCCGCCTTTGTACGTGTCGTATGCAAATACTGCAGCATCGCACAGTTGTCACCCCCTGTCGGTAACCACCTAATGTAGCGGGGAATACACCAGCTGACTCAAGTTTTTGGGTCATCATTCTTTAAACGATTTTTTGGACGAGTCTTTCTTCTGTATTCTGGAGTGTAATGATTCTGTAGCCATTTATTCTCGTGTGATTTTTCACAGGCTTAAGATTGCGTCTGATGTAGCTACGGATATGGTCCTCGATGTTTTGATGTTGGTGAATATCCTGGATAATTCAGCTGTATCCGCCTCCTCGAAACCTTTTGAGTCGCTGTATCTAATGCCATCAGGCCCTGGAGCTGTATTCGGGCAGGTCCTCAGTTATTTTCTGATGCATTTACTCTAAATGTACACTGTCATCAACCAACGTCCCCATGCATATAAGTCATATCAATGTCGTGTTAAGAGCTTAGTTGCATGTCCTTTATAGGACGTTGCAGAACCAACCCCAGCAGCCCCTGGGTGTTGTGTGGTTTCTCTAGGCAAATTTACGTCTAGTAGTTTGGCATTGCTTACTGGACGGTCGATCCCCTGATACCACTGTCGAAACCAAAGCAAGGCGCAATGGCCCGCAGATGGGATCGAACCCAGCACCCCGGCATTAGGAAGCTTTCGCATCGACTTACAATGTCGTATATATATATATATATATATATATATATATATATATATATATATATATATATATATATATATATATATATATATATATATGGCAACGCCACCGCAGCTTAGAAGTCAGCTAGTCTAATTGCCAAAAGTGTGGGGATTTAATCAGTAGAACATTAGAAGATGGATAAACAGTAGTCTGATAAAGCGTACAATCAAGGCTAGAGGCAGAGAGTGTCGGTGAACCATCTCATCCATCTTTTTTTGTGTGTGGAGATTATACTACATTTGTATACGACTTATTAACGGTGGAAAAAAGGCGATGGTAAGCCTGAGTTAAAGATGGACAACGAGGTTGGTATATATATATATATATATATATATATATATATATATATATATATATATATATATATATATATATATATATATATATATATATATATATATAAAGAGAGGTAGAGAGAGGACAGCGAATTGAAAGATATTTAGTAAAAAGGCTCACCTTGCCACCCAAGGAAGTACAAAGAATGTCTTGGTTTGCCTCCCATGATTCCCATACAGTTGTCGTGAGATAAGAGACTCTTCACACACGGAAAATAGATCTCGTTTGTCACGTCTGCTCCCAATCGCATGGGTATCAGAAGTATCAGTGATCTCTGCCATTCTGGATTCTGAAATTACATTTATTTTTGCCAGTATAAAAAGTGTTTTTTTGTTTTGTTTGAAAAAGGTGTCGAGGAAAGGATATGCATGCAATATAAATATTATGAAATGGCTGGTCGAACAAAAATACAAATTAATGATTATAGTAAGAAATGGAAGAATCGACTGCGAACTCAAAACGAAGAATCGTAACACTAATAGTAAGAATTTGAGGAAATGCCTAATCTCTATTGTAGTATACCATCGCGATTCGGGGACCATTTTGTCATCATTGCAGGAAATAAACCGACCACTAGCATTGCCTGAATTTACCATTTCTGCGGAGTGGGGTGGGGTTTAGGGGTAGGGGGGGGGAGGGCTTTGAGCTTGAGAATTTCAGGCCATAAGACTAGTACAGTCGCCACTGAGTGTGCAGGTTAGCATTATATTTTTGCCTCTGAGAGGAAAGAACTCATCTTTACCGATGATTCAAACCTGGATCTCCAGCCAGAGAACATAATGTCCATAATCAGTCAGCAAGCCACTGCTTAAAAAAAAAAAATGGCGGTTTAAATGTTACATAGTAAGTCTTCGAATGCCACATATCAAGAAGAACACAATTTTGACCTGCTTTAATATGTCACACCGAGAGAGAGAGAGAGAGAGAGAGAGAGAGAGAGAGAGAGAGATAGAGAGAGAGAGATAGAGAGAGAGAGAGAGATGGAGAGAAGAGAGAGACACAGAGAGAGAGAGAGGGAGGGAGGTAGAAACTGTTTTTTTAATAAACAATTGTATGTTTGATACCAAAATACTTCCAATATATCACTGAAATTGTACAGTTTAGGGCGGATAACGATATTCTTCTCATACGATGGAACTCGATACCCACACTTCAATTTTAAAGAAGATGGAAGCGTATCCAAACGCAGGTTACAACAGGCGGATGTTTTAGTAATATATAGATAGAAAAATCAGCTGATATAAAAGATAAAAAGCCCACAAATGTTCCTTAACGTTTTGTTTGCTTTTATGAGTCTTAGTAGTTTTTCAAAGACTTCAGATTGTTTCGAGTGCTAAATATAAAAACCAAATGTTACGCTGTTACCACATGATGTCGAGGACATTTATAATTTTGTCTTGGTTTATAAAACTGCTGGCAAATCTACGACTGTCCAGGGTTGTTTGCAGATGATCAGATTTACTCGTGAACTGAGATGTGTCTGTAAAATTGAGGACCGTTGGCAACGCTGTGTGAGACATGGTTCACGAAAAAAAAAAAAAAAACATTTAGTGGTTTGTCACCACCAAGGTAACCACCTGAGGTAAGAGAGGTCTTGGGTAGGAAAATACAAAACTAAACGGAATTGGCAAGGGATTCTTCTGCGATGGGCAATGATGGAATCAAAGTTCCGTAAAAGTCCTCAGATATGATGACAATACAACATAAATGACTGGGTTTTTTGTTAGTTACTATTGCATTAGATCCAAAAGCTGCTGTGTTGTCTGTTCGTGGTAGCCTTATTCCAGTATTGAGATGCACATTGTCTGTTGCTCGTTTATAGTTGGGAAAAGAAAAATTTTTGCCTGGAAGCTAACCACCCCAGTGACTTAAAATGAAAGCTTCGTTTCTTGTTAATATTTGTATTAATTTCTGATGTTGCGGCACCTTAAAGGCCCAGCATCATCTTGAAAGAGGATTCGCAGTCTTCTTATAAAGTCGAGGAGCAAAATAGATGGGCAGAGAGATAGCAAGCAGACGACTGTAATTGTTCGTTATTTTGTGCTATGGGTGACGCTTATGACAGGCAAACCATATGGGATAAAACCCAATGCAATGAACTCGACCCTCTCTGTTTTAAACACTCATTTTGGAAACGTATAGAACAGGATACTAAGTAACTTACCTCAAGATTTGCCTTTGATGTGTCTGTTTCGCTTTCCAGTGATCCATCATGACTTCCCACAGCTTGTTTCTTCGTACACAGCTTCAACACATCCTCTATGACGACTGGTCAGATTATAATTAAATTAATACTTAGGGCTAATGCATAATGATGGGATAATTCTTAAATGTCATCTGAGCAGTTGCAATCTCCTTATTTAGGTGCCTGTTCTAGAGCGAACACTGGCTGTGAAAACTCTCAAGAGACTATTAGTAGCGCGGACTAAGAGAAAACAAAAAAACTTGGGGGTTGGGGGATGACGAAAGGTCTAAGCCCCCTTAGTGTGACGACGAGGCCTTAGCCATATTACAGTGACGATGGAGCCTTAGTCCTATTTCAGTGACGATGGAGCCTTAGTCCTATTTCAATGACGATGGAGCCTTAGTCCCATTACAGTGACGATGGAGCATTAGTCCTATTTCAGTGACGATGGAGCCTTAGTCCTATTTCAATGACGATGGAGCCTTAGTGCCATTACAGTGATGATGGAGCCTTAGTGCCAAGACAGTGATGATAGAGCCTTAGTGCCAAGACAGTGATGATAAAGTCTTAGGCCCATTACAGTGATGATGGAGCCTTAGTCCCATTACAGTGATGATGGAGCCTTAGCCCCATTACAGTGATGATGGAGCCTTAGTCCCATTACAGTGACGATGGAGCCTCAGTCCTATTACAGTGACGATGGAGCCTTAAACCCTATTACAGTAACGATGGGGCCTTAGTGCCATTACAGTGACGATGGAGCCTTACTCCTATTACAGTAACGATGGAGCATTAGACCCATTACAGTGACGATGGAGCATTAGACCCATTACAGTGACGATGGAGCATTAGACCCATTACAGTGACGATGGAGCCTTAGACCCATTACAGTGACGATGGAGCATTAGACCATTACAGTGACGATGGAGCATTAGACCCATTACAGCTTAAAACGAATAAGCCTCTTTTTTTAAATTTCAGAACAATGTTTTCACAAGGGTAATTTTAAATAATGAGATAACGAACAAAATAATGCACAATTTATCGCAGGGAAAAAACAAACGACAAAATGATTTATGCCTTTCTGTTAAAAAGATGCAATATTTTGTGCTTCATTATAAATGAATATAAATTCTACAGCAATGCACAGGACCAGATACAAGAACTATACCGGACAGACCTCACCCACACACACACCCACACGCAGACACACACACAGACACACAGAAACACAGACACACACACACGCACACACATACACACGCACACACACACGCGCATGCACGCACTCTCTCTTTCTCTCTTTCTCTCTCTCTCTCTCTCTCTCTCTCTCTCTCTCACACACACACATGCATGTAGATACATTCAGATGTTCTACCTGTGCAGTCCTGGGCAACATACAGACAGATCTGACTTAAAACTGGTACACTTTGGCTGGCTTTCTGAAACGCATCTCTGAAAGTAATGTATCAAAACAGTTAACTTGCGAATGTTTACAGTAAATATATTTTTACCTCTGTGTATGCAATGACGTAGTCGTGTCAGTAGAAAACCAGGGTGCCATCTGAGTACTTTGCAAAAATATAGTGACGGCCACCTTTACTCAGTAAATTACTGTAAATGTGTAATTTTAAAAAGTGCTTTTTTTTTTTTTTTAAACACTGATTTGTTTTGTTTTTGTGCGCGTCTCTAAAGTCTGGATATAAAGCAAATTTCATTACCTATAATTTATTACATCAAGTTGACTTAAATTTTGCCATAATTTATTACATCAATATTAGAGACCTACTTTACTAATTTATTTTCTATGGCTCGCTAGGTAGGCCAGCTAACAGACTTCACTGCCCTACGACACACTTAAGACACGCACCTGCTGAGTACAAACATAATCTTTAATGTACAACGAACAATACAACTTATTACACCTTAAATAAGTTGGCAGCCCTTATCCTAAACGCCGGCGTTGAGCAGCTTTTACATTCACTGGTCAACCCAAGCTGTTCCCATGGATCCCCAAGGACACGATTCCAAACTAACAGTTTAACAGTGTTGACTAAGCCGCCGTCTATTGCCACGCGGGACTTAGTGACACACGTAAGATGTATGGCCTAAGTGTGACTGCGCAGTGTTCATCTCTCAACACGCGGTAATACGTGTTAACCGTAGGACCTTGGCTTCGCCAGTTAACTCGGCCCAGTTTATTCCGTGGTCAAGCTGCCCGGTCTCACACTGAGTTCTACTGAGGGTCATCTCGTTCATACGTGATGATTCACTATCAGCAACTCCGTTCATCCCGTAGCCAAACTGGCCTCTGACAATCAAGTTAACGTAAATTTTGCCATAATTTATTACATCAATTTTGCAAAGCGCTCCGACTTTTGCCTCTCATTTGATGGACAAAATTTTGAAGTGCTATTTACTACTCGAGCTAAATAAAGTGTGGGTATTAAATGTTATTTATCGAAAAAATGTGTTCAGACTTTAGGGACACCTGACATGTTCAGTGCTACACTACTATTTGTTTTGTGATGTAATTTGTTAGACGTCTTGGTATTTTGATCATATTAATTTGGTTTTTCGAGTTTAGCGATTTGGTACTGAACTGGAAGTTCACACTCAGAAAGCGAAGCAAATGGAAGAGACATTGTATCATGGTTCTGGGCTTAGAAGTTCACACTCAGATAGCGAAGCAAATGGAAGAGATATTGGATAAGTTCACTCCCTCTACTCATTAAGAATCTGCCTATGATTATCTCAACACCTTATAAATGTGTAGTTTACAGTAACCAATGTTGATGCACATGTACATTTTTATCCTGTGCTGCCAGTACCAGACACACACAGTCACAACAAACTATAAAAGAAAATTAGTAATCAGAAACTGAGATGTCTAGGAAAGGTTGCTGGAGTGACTAGAAGAAATAACCAGGAATGAGCTCATAAAAGAACAAATCGCCACAGAACTAATTCTATATTACATTTGCTTTAAACAGCAAATCAAACTGTTGCCCATGTAGAGAGAATGCCTTGTGACTTCGCATCATGCAACAACACTCCGGGATAGAAAGTTAAAATTGACAAACAAGTAAGATTAATGAGATAATGTAATAGTAGAAAGTCGTCTAGGTTCATCTAGGTAAAGACTCGTCATCACAACCTTCAGGACAAACTTATGCTAGCTCAGTCTCCCTTCACAACGGCTAGCGAAGAGTCACTATACTGATGGTACTAGTTATCCTCTGGTTAACTACTCGTCTTACCTTTCCTCGGAGTCTCAAGTGGCACCCAGAGGCTGCAGACACACCCTACTACATTATTCTCTAAAGGTACGTTTTTTTTTTATATCTTCCATTTTACTTGTACCCCATCCCACAGGTAAGAAATCACATCGGCCTTGTGTAGTTGCATTGATCATTATTCATTTTAAAGATCATCTTCATTGCACACTGGACATGATCATAAGTGCTCCGATCTGCTGAGTATGTATTCAACTGTTTTTAGACTAACAGCTTCCTTTCTATTTTGGCTGATGTAACGATGGATGATTCCGCATGGTTTTCCTATCTCGCAGCTCCAGTTGGGGCACTCAGGGTATGCACTCTATTCAGTGACAAATCATTTTCATCGAAACCGAAAGCCTCACAGCGTTTAGTCTCTCGTATGGCATTGACGATGTCTTTCCTGCCAATGGATGGCCCATTCCTGATAGTCGCATTGCCAGTCGAAGGGTCCGCTCTCTTATTGCCTTTCACACCAGCACACCCTTGGGAAAAAAAAATGAAGGTGATTTTGCGCAACGCTGCGTGCTGTATCAGTTGGAGCCACTGTTTCCGTATATGCAAAATATATATACATTAAGGAATTCCTCAGTTTGCCCCCATTCTAGGGCTTTTTGTTACAACCATGACCTCAACTGTGTAGTTGCAATACATCCTAAAGCGAGACCAGACCAGCCAGTCTATCTTACTGCTCATTCCCAGACACGCCTACATAGCCGAGCAAAATATCAATTCGACTCTCACCACTTGCGACCTCTGGAATGATGCGAAGAGAATCTGACTCCACTTTGTAAAGAATCAGAAAGGTGTACTATCTCTGGGGTAACTAATGAACCTATTACGAGCTGCATGGTTTAAAAAAAAAAGTAAAGGACCCCCTTTCAAGCCCTAATGGGTATTGGATATATAGTGAAATACTCATATTTTATAAACAGATCGGCACTCGTTGGCTAATGGGATCAACATTATACCGGCAACATTTACTTCGCATTTTAGGCTGGGTCGACTTGCGAGCCAATTTCACTTTTCAACACAATCAGACTGGATGCTGATTTGAACCCACGATCTTCGTCTAGCCACTATACTACGGTGGTTTCCGAGTTGCATGGTCCCGAAAGAGGAAATAAGAGAGTAAACAGGATTAAACTTCCCACCGTTTTCCACATACTGAACTGTGACTCTTCCATAATAAACTACAACATTTTTGTGACCTCTCTTGTCTGTAAATACTTTCTCGCTGTGAATTGCAAACCTGTTTGCCAATCCAGACAACCACCAGTAAATGCTGGGGTTAGTTTACCATCTCCTATAAAGGGTATTAAGGACCTTTTTCCACTCCTTCAGACGTGTTGGACATATAGTGCTAGACCTATATTTTATAAACTAATCGACACTCGGTGGGTGATGTTTGTTAACATCACACCGGCCGCCTTTACTTCTCAGGACTTTTGCCTGGTACCCATTTAGGAAAGGGCCAACATGGGAGCCAAGTTAATTTTTGGAGAATAAAAGACAGGCTTTGTTAAGATTCGACCTCGCGACATTCGGATTTGCAGGCCAGCGTCTAGCCGGATATCAAGACGGTACCCTTTGAAGGATATACAATTAACTATTTAACTGACCATACGCGAGGTGCATTTGAGGTTTGAACAGAGTCATTTTACTGAACTAACTACTTACATTCGGGCTCACCTGAAAACAAGAGCCACTGACGATGGCCCGTACCAGTCTCCTGGATATTTGTTGTACATTCGACCATAGCTGGCCAAATGGTGCAGGCAGAATGGTGTTTTATCTGATGGGGTATCCAGGGGATCGGAGAACCAGCGTATGATTTCTCTGTAAAATACGGAGTCTGTGTCTGTTTGTTTGTTGTACAATCTCCAGTCTGGAGTAGGAAATTAAGAGAAGAAACATGTTTTAAGGAATGAAATCTCTCTGCCGGAGGCAGCTGTTGCTTTAACTCCTTATACCCCGATTTTATTCTTCTTCTTTGTTCACCAGCTGTAAGCTCCAGCGGAAAGTTCTGGTTGTTCGTCCATTTGGATTTTGGCTTTGTGCCAGGGTCTGAGTTTTGAATGTACATCCGTTTTACTGGCTTATTTGTGCGCAGTTAGTTGTTCCTTACCGCTGGGGCAGATGCACTCCGGCTTCGAAGGAAGTCCCCAATTAGATATTGGGGAGGCAGTGGGTCTATTCTTGTTTTCCCTCACAATAGGGCCCCGGAACCCACACAGGGAGTATCCCGATCTAACTAAAAACGAAAAGTTCATTAGCTCTAGGATATCATTTTCAGTACCTTCCTTAGTTTGAGGCGACTGATAACACCAGTTTTATGTTGGCTAACTATTCTTCTTTGCCTGTCTTGTCTACGTTTCTGCCCCGCCATACCTCTTTTGACATGAATTCTTACAATCTGTCAAGGTTGCCGATTCGCAGTCGTCTTCTGAATCATTTACTCGTCATGCCTCCTTTAGAGCATTGAGAACATTAACCCAGTCAGTTACTTTTCAGGAGCCTACCGTAGCCCTACTCATTAATTCCCTCTTACCCCGGAGTTTCATGACAGACGAGATTTCCTCAGAGACTGCAACTACTCACCTAGAACGGCTAACGTATCACCGCTCTGTGGCTGAACAGAGCAAGAACAATATACAGCTGTAGTATGGGCAAGAAATTGACAATAAGTGTCTGGTATCCATAGATTTAACGAAGTCATTCATTATGATTGACATCAGTGCTCTCGAGACATTTCCACAAGTTCTCTTTTCTCTTTTCATTTTTTTCAGTATTCAACGAAGAATGCTCATGCTGATGTCCCAATGGCAACCTGAAAAACGTCTGCCCTTTGTTTCAGTGTGTTGGGAAATGAGCAGGCAGATAGACTGACCGATTCTGCACCACTTGGTGGTGAACTGATGTATGACAAGCTAGATGTTTTGAGGGCCCTTTGGGAGCGAGTGAACAGTGCCGAGGAACAGATAGATCATTACAGTCTCTGCTTATGGCGGTGTCCCGAGTGCTGTGATGTCGATTCCTTTTTCAACATTCAACATTCTTAAGGATCAGCCAGACGCCCTAATTACTGCTCATCTTGTCCGTGTCGCCAGGATTGGACACTCTGCCCTGTTACAGGGTCTGGGCTATCCTTCGAATAACAGTTCTAAATTATCAAGGCGGAAAATATACCCTAACAGGGTCTCAGTTACGTGTCAATTGCGCACTTCTGGGGACTACAACGCCACCGCCGAATTGCGAACCTCCGGCAATTTCCGCCACCACCGAGGATATCCCCCACGCCGCTCATGCGGCGTGCATTGGGGCTAAACTAGATGGCTAGGACTCACGAGCAAAAAAAAAAAAATGAAGGAAACTGCAGGAGATGCGGTAGCTGCTGCTCGTGAGTCCCAGCCATCTAGTTTAGCCCCAGTCCACGCCGCTCACGCGGCGTGGGGGATACACTCGGCGGTGGTGAAAGTCGCCGGAAGCGCGCAATTTAAGACGACGGAAGTGTGCAATTGACACGTGACTGAAGCTCTGTTAGGGTATAGTTTCGGCCTCGATAATTTAGGACTTTTATTCGGAGGATAGCCCAAGGTCTATTTTATCAGGGAGAAAGTCTTCCCCATTAACATATACAAAAACTGTAAATAATGATATTTTTTTCATAAAATGACTTATTGAAACTGGAAAGTTGAATTGAGACACTGGATGTGAGAATATACAGATGTACACGCTGTATTCTTTCGACCGTATTAAAAGACATACGACTGTTATTGTTTGTTTTGGTATCCAGAAGCCATGAGTTGTTAACCCTTAGGCTCGGTATTATGGATATCGCAACCTTTCGGCCTTGATTCCATTTTAAATACCGTAAATATGGGAGAAAATGTGACTTTTCTGCCCACCCACGGGAGTGAACCCGGACCACAAGGAGTTCGTCACCCGCTCACCGCGCAATCCGGTTTAGCCAACTACGCTAGAGAGCCGGACATACGACTGTTATCAAACCAGCATTGTCTGAAAAAGAATAGTTTGGGGAATTTATATTGTCAGAAATTAGGGTAGAAATTTCATAGCCCTTAACACTTAAAATAAAAAATCTCCACATGAAATAATATACTAAGACGCAGAACAGTTACTATTTGTGAGGATTTAACGTCGAACAACAAGCAGGTCAATAGACGAGAGAACAAACCTCTGCCAAGGAAATGGGTGACTAGACTTTGTGCAATCAACATCTGACCACTACGAAGCATACATCCCCAGCCACAGTCTGTGCTCAGTCTAGATCCAGGAATGGGATAAAAGTTCCTGCGATAGGTCAGCCAGATGCGGCTGACAAAGTCTCCGAGAAACTCGTCTTCTGTCAGCGTCGATTCATCATCTAACGAGTAATGAGAATGGAAAAGTTGGGTTTTGATCTTCCACTTTGTCTTTTATTAGCAAAAGTTGCGGCGGACAAGGTCCCCAGGAAACTTATCTTCCGTCAGCGTGGATTCATCTAACGAGTAAAGAGAATGCACAAGTAGGGTTTTGATCTTCCTCTTTGTCTTTGCATAGCGGCGCGGGGGAAACTCTCGGCGGCGAGTTTGACTCGACGTTTTGTTACGTTTCGTGACATCAACCCCGGAAATTTATCCTACTTTTGCCGCGGTATATTCGCGAGAAAGAAGTCCGCAATTTACATATGATTGAGGCCCTGTCAAGGTTTTTTTGTTTTTGGGCCGCCATAATATGTGGCCGTTATTCGGAGGATAGCCTTATCCTGGGCTTGGAGACATTTAGCCTTGACTCTCAGGACAGTGACTTGCCTGGGGCTTGGATAAATTGACCCATAAATTTATGTATAATAATTTACTTTGGCTTGGAGATGTGTACCTGTCATTATCAGTGAAAGGATTTACATTGGCCTTGGTGACCTTTAACAGTGACAATTAGTAAAATGATTCGCCGTCATTGTCCCGTGACTCTCTGTACACAGATTTACCGTGGACTTCGGGACTTTTACCCGTGACTGTCTGTACATAGATTTATCATAAGCTTGGACAAATTTATCCATGACTCTCTATATAGAGATTTACCTTGGGCTTGGAAAACTTTACCCGTGACTCACCTTACAGATATTTATCTTCAGCTTGGATACATTTACCCGTAACTCTCAGTACATAGATTAACACGGGGCTAGATGCAATGTTATTAAGCTCATATTCTGCTGACGATAAGGGTGGCCGCTTGACATTTTTACAAAATAATTGGAATCTGAATTTATAAATTTTCAGCCAAGCAGGTAGGTTCTGGCTCCTATGATGGTATATATGTATATATTGGGTTGAACAACGGATCAACATCAAGGCACAAGGGTAGTTACATATAAGGGCTCTGTTCTACTTCTAACTCAAGCCTGAGTTCGAAGAATCTCAGCGCAGTGCACGAGCTGTGTAGCACCGGCGAGGACACTGAAATACTTCGGGTAGATTTTACACTAACAATTTTGCCCGACATCAGCGTTATACTACTCTTTTCGATTTTCAACTGCCAAGGATTTTTCTACGTGCGCAACAATACAAGGGCGTCCGAACTCACTACTCAGAGACCAGCGTAAATTACTAGTAGTCCACGTGAAAAAATCCCAGCCTTAATCGTATCTCTAGGCGGACGCCATGCCTCACCCCTGCAGCCCTCCGCCCAAACACTTGTCTAATCTAGTAGCTTTGAGATCCTAATCTCCGTCTTGTGTCGGAATTTTGGGACGCTGTTTCGACCCGTTCACTTTTATAACGGGAGAATTCTCTCAGTCACACGTTGTGTCGGGTTTTGCAACGACCTGTATTCATCCTACTTGACCGTCTGTAATAGGAGATTTATCTAACTCTTCAGAGTCCTTATAGTAGTCTTGCAGTCTATTTAACACACACGCAACCATGGATGCCATCGAATATGTGCAGTTATCTGGTGTGCAGTCTTGCAAAATGCAAAACATTACAAGAAGTTAATATGTAGTAAAAGTAATCTGAAAGATACCGTGTGTGTATGTGTGTGTGTGTGTGAGAGAGAGAGAGAGAAAGAGAGAGAGAGAAAGAAAGAAAGAGAGAGAGAGAGAGAGAGAGAGAGAGAGAGAGAGAGAGAGAGAGAGAGAGAGAGAGAGAGGATCCCAAGAAGAACGCTCTATGATCTAAGTACATCAAGGAGTTAACAAGGTTTACCGAACGACTTCAGAGGGTCAACAAATTTCACTGATGCAAGAAAAACAGGTGTTTTAGTAACACAAATTAGTATTAATTTTTGAACAGGGGGTAAAGCGACGCACACGTTTAGGTAATGCTGTTGGGTTTCACATGAGTGTGTGTAAAAGCTGTTGTGTCAGTCAGTTATGAATGCTAGTAAACTCGAGGGTACTTTGCGATGGGAAAATATGAGGTAGCAGAAATTAATTTGATATTGTGACCTAAGGATTATTAATGATGAAGAGAGTTGACTACGACGGGTCAGATTATACTATGTATCTTGGCTAGAATCACTATTCAAATGTGTGCCTTCTCTCCACTAAAGGTATACATCTCGCAAGTTACTTATACATTACTGGATCAAGATTAAATTCGTACAACTTAAGAAATATATTATAGCATAGGGGAGTGCAGATTAGGGAAAGGTGCAGCTACTGTCAAAGCATCGGCGATTACCTTTAATTGCCACATAAGATAAGAAGAAAAAGAGAAGATAATAGGCATATGGACAGCTTTAGTGTTGAAGCTATGCTTATCAGTTGGGAGTCCGACAGCTTTCATAAAGGTGAATCAGGTCTATTGTCAACATTATAGCCCGCCTAATTATCTATAAGTTGTTTGTTGTCTCATATATATATATATATATATATATATATATATATATATATATATATATATATATATATATATGCTGGGAATCTAATACATTTGTTGAAATAATTTTAAAACACCTACTAACAATAATGACTTCTCGGATTCTCAATGATAGATCATAAAACCCAGTCCCATGAGCAGTTACAAAAAAATATGAAGCTTACAGAATTTGATTATTGTGCAAACTAAAATAATTTGCTTACTTTAAAGATTACCTTATACAAGCCATGTTCCTTAAGTCCTTATAAAGTGCTCCCTTATTCTTTAGTGAATCAAGGGTTATTTTTCTTCAGACGCTTGGCTCTCATTATTTCCGCAATCATTTCTTCGTTCATTCTCATTTCCTTCCTGATGTGCTCTCTCCACACAACCCGGTTCATGACACTTTGTTCCCACTTGTCCACCTCAATACCTGTATCATTCATGTCCCTGTTGCACACATCTTTTTCTCTCTATAGCAAAATGCCTGAGCAGTATTGTTATATGGAGACCATAGTTCGTGCACTTGGTCTGGCTAGGATTTACCTGTATGTGTTGAAGGATGGATGAAAGGATGACTTGCGCTGTGATTTTTCATTTGAGTGAGGAAGAGTTGCACGATTCGTCGACTTTGTCACGATGCAGCCCATACCCCTCTCCTCTTAGACTTGTCTGGACCTTGTCACCTCTATGTAAATGAGGCCGATTCGAAAATGGACTTTCCTTTATTGGTAAATAATCCTTCTTTTGTCTACATGTCGGGTTAACTACTCAATTATATCCTGATTATATCAGGAAGGTTATTTTTTTCACACTCTAGAGCTTAGGTGGGAGATTTATTGATAGTGTTGTGAAGCCATAATTCGAATGGTCGAACTACAGCTTTGGACGTGAATAAATCCCCTCCCACCTCTATCGGAAAAGACGCTTGGTTTGATCTTATTTTTGATTGAGCTTCCCGATAAGACAGACTTGCTGCCTTTGTGCTGTTTATCTACCAATCTCTGTTTGAATCACCGATTCATCCGAGAATATCCTTGAACATGGGATTCTAAACTTGTCTGGAAGCCATGTCGACAATCAATACCCTAACACTATCCTGTGCAACCCACATCTGGTAAACCATAATCCTGTCAGTGACTTCATAGTCAACAACTGCCGGTGATTCTGTAGTGTTCACCACCAGATTGTATCTGCAACCCTATAGGACTTGTATTTGGTCATAATACCTACAACTGCCGTGATCAGTGGGGGACATCAAGTAGAGTGAAACATGTTTTAAATTTAACACAGACCCATCTTCCGTGAAATACCCAGTAATAGTGACTTTAGCATTGGGGTAAATGTGTAGACAATCTTATTTATGTTTGATTATATTTGATTAACCATTAGCTTTAAGAAAGATTTCCCAAGTCGCATGAGGAGACATTATTCTAAGTGAACCGGATCTTGTGACAGATAAATGAAACACCAGCACCTGCGGTTAATCCTATACCTAATTTCCAGTTCCTTGGGCCCAGTGTTTCACATTTTAGCAATAATGATTTTGGCTGCTATTAGTGACAACACAGACGCTTATCTGTCATAAGTTGTCTTTGTTTCATACTTGGTGGTTACTCTTGCTGAATTCTTAAAAAAAAAATTCCTACAAGTGTTTCACTGATTACATGATGTTTTATTATTTTTTTCATTCTGTTCTAGTTTCCATCCTTCACAGTTCCTAGTTGTCTGGAGTGTTGTGGTAATGTTTTAATGGATGTTATACGGTGTTATTTTGATTTGCATAGAATTACTATTTAGTCTCGGGGCTTAATAGTAGTCAGGCCAAGTTGCACCTAGGAATGTTTATGTATTCTGTCGTGCCATAATTTGAGTCGCCTCACCCCTGAAGTAGGTTGGATATTCATTAGAGCTCTGGGATTCCGCCTAGACCACTTCGAGCCAACATCTCAACACTAAAACTACTTCAGATTGCCATTTAGTTCATTTGAGGAAATCCTAACAGAGGCAGCATTATTATTATTTTACAAAATAACCAGCATTATGTGAAAGACTCACTCTCTCTCCCAAGTTCATTTAAGTCCAATTGCAAGACGAATGAAGACGTCTAGAGATGAACTCGGGTGCAGTGGATAACCAGGGCGTTACCTATTTAGTTGCAGTCAGTTGTTGCAGTTGTGTAACACAATTATTCACATATCTTTTTGCCAGGGCTTTGATTATATTTAAGTACCCCTGCACAGATAAACTCTTGTCTTGTCTCTACTTTTCCAGTTTTTGCTGTTCAGCGGGGAACCACTTATTGTCCTTACAACATTTTCGTTTTTCCTCATCTCCCTACTTCTTAGTTTTTGCTTTTCCCTCTTCCCACCAGCACACACACACACACACACACACACACACACACACAGTTACACACACACACACACACACACACACATTGACCTGCTTTTCGTTTGTGGTAGCACGCTAAAATAAACGCACGCACGCACGCACTGGACACGCACGCACGCACGCACAAGCACGCACGCACGCACGCACGTACGCACGCACGCATGTCTAAGCCAGCACGTATACGCACGCACGCACGCACGCAGCCAGTAGCCCCCCCCATGCCCACCCACCCATATTCCCACCCACCCACTACACCCACCCACCCATCCATTTTCCCACCCACCCACCCATTCGGCCGAACCGACCCACCCACCCACCCACCCACCCAGGTGCCCCACTGGTGTTGGCCCACCCACCCACCCACCCACCCTGCCCAGTTCGTGTGCTGACCCACCCCATGACACGCACACACGCACGCTTCTCTCGCACGCACGCACGCACGCACGCACGCACGCACTCACGCACGCACGCACGCACTTCTGCACGCACTTCGGCACGCCACGCACGCACGCACGCTACGCATCACGCACGCACGCACGCACGCACGCACTGGCACGCACGCACGCACGCACGCACGCACACACGCACGCATATAGCAAGCAACAAGATATATTGCATAACACACACACACACAATTAACACACATTTTAGTAACACACACACACACACACAAACACACATCACGTTCACACACGTTAGCCTGGCTTAAAAGTACCTCCATATTCTGTGCATCTTGTGAATGGCTTACGAAAGAACAATATTGACCTGCTCTCTCTCTTTGTGGTAACACTTCCCCAAAATAAACATAGGGCTGTCGTACTTGAAGCTGGACTTTGACTGCAACGACCAACCTGACAAGAAGGTAACGTAAAACAGTTGTCAACAAAGATTGATGTAATTTCTACTTTCTAAATTATACAGTATGTGTGAGGCAGATAGTTATAGGGCCTGAGACGAGATCCTGTAGCAGTTTCAAAGCGTCAGCTTTATAAATCACCATATTCAATGAGCAAGTCCGCTGCAGGTAGAAAAGTCTCTCTTTCTATATCAATTTCTTCAGTCTATATGCTTTTATAACCAATGCATCTTCAATGTCTTGTGTCAACTTTTCGCGAGGTCTGTCTCTGCCTCCTTTTCTTGAAACTGTACCCTGCATCATCGTTTCCTCCAGTCCACCATGACCATTAACGTATCCAAAATGCCCTAGTTTTCGCAACAGAATCTGTATCAGCCTCGTCTCCTCCATGTTCAGATCGTGTAGGATGTCGACGTTTATTATCTTCTTCTTGACGCAAGATATTCTAAGAATGTTTCTGTTGCATTTCAGCTCACAAGCTCCTATTTGTTCTTCTTCAGTAATTGAGTAACAACGTATGACTCCCATGCACACGTTGCCACCAGATAGATGCATTTTCTTCATGCTGTTAAGTCTCTGCATTGCCAAAGCTAGTCTTTTTTCTGACTTTTTGTGTGTGTATAGTGGACATCGTTGTTCATAAACATTTAAAACCTTATTTACAAAAGATAAGTAAATTTTACATGGAGCAGCAGCATTAACTAGGTTAGGGCACTTACTTCCTGCCATGACGGTCATGCATTCGAGTCCACAATCAAGTGACGTTTACGTTTCTTCATCCACTAAGACTGAGTAAAGAGTATACAAGGAAATGTTCTAGCAAATAAAGATAATTGTCATAACATTGGCCATTTCACAGGTCAAGTGGTAAAGGTCTATAAAACATACATGTTTAGCAACACATACGTGAAAGGCGCGCTGAAAAAAAAAGATAAATAATGGCGACACAAACAGAACAGTGCACAATTATTGGGGAAGGGGGGGGGTGGGGGGGAGGTCTCTACAGTAAAACAGAAATCCCCGGCTCCTTCCTCAAATCAATTTATATTTTAAAAACAAATCAACCGCGATCAACCTACTACGAGCAGTATCAGTTATATTTGTGGTCTGGTTTATCTGTACCTCTTATGTTTGCTAAGAAATGTTAATTGCACCAAAATCAGTGACTCGGACCGGTCCTGTAGTGAGGGTTATTGTCTCAAAAGGTAGTTTTTACACATGACCACCCATGAGGACTGGCATATTCATAAATTTCCTTCAATCTTCGGACTGCCAACCCGTGATGACATAGACAACCAAACGCAGTAAACCTTCAGTGTATCAGCCTCCATTCTCATAACGGAAATGATTAACATTAGCGGCTTAAATGTTACTTACATACATACAAATCCTCAAAACACAGGAAGCACATTCAATGCCAAAACATTCATTTAGAAAAAAAACCTGTTAGCATGTTTCATAACAAGTCTGCAGGCCAATTATAACCCTGTCTGAATCAACGAGAACCGGAATGAAATGCTGCAAGTCTCAGTAAATGTTCCACCTACCGTATATGATTGTGTTCCACAGCGTCTTGAGTTTTGTTTTTGCTGTCTCTGGCTCAAGCTGGTGTTCTAGAATGTCCAAGTTGTTTCTAGAATTTGGTTCTTTTTGTTGAGATGAGCTTGATGGGTTCTGACTATACTTCTGTAATCCGTCTCGCGGCAACACTGAGCGGAAACTAGGCTGTACCTTATACTTATTAGATTTTAACTGGTAATGCCTGGCGAATTTAGCACGACGGTTTGGAAAAATCTTATATTGTTGATGTTGGGCTTTGCGTAAAGAAGATGTACTGATCGTATCACTGATGTTAGGTGGTTCTGTCTTGGAAGTAACAGTTGAGTTCGGCATGGTTTTGAAAGACATGGTAGGTTTTTTCCTGAAATCCGAGTGTGTATGCCGGCGGTGTGAAGGTGAATTTGAAGTAATAGTTTCTGAAGGTGTAGCAGAAGAGCACACATCCGATTTAATAGATTCATTAGGAGTCGCTCTTGGAAATGTAGTCTCATTACGTCCTCCAAATACTGGCTTTTCCTCGTTGTATCTCTTATAAATAGTTTCGCTTGATTTGCTAACATTGTCATTGTAGTCATTCATTTTATAACGCCGTGTGTTTTCATTATTGAAATGGTTGTGGCTTTTGGCCGAATTTCCCTGGTCACTGAAAAAAACTTCATTTGTGGCTTCATCATGATTATAAGCAGCTGAGCCAGTAGCTGTCATCAACTTTACCTGTTTGGAGTTTACTTCCATCAGCTTTCGGTGTTGGAGATATAACTGACCTGCGGATTGTCTACAAACTGTTTATTAGGCACTTATTTTACTGACAAATTAACTGATAAATTAACACGATTTCACAGTCTACTACAAGTTGTCTTGTACTAGAATGTTAGCGATACTGCCTCCTCTTAAAATCGAATGATTTTCTCCAACTGTAATTTAGAACATTCTTAAAGTGATGCTAATTTAAAAACATCAAGCAGCGATTAAAAAAAAAAAAAAAAGCTGATAACATTATTGTTCACACGGTGTGAGATTTGATGCGAGAATGTCTGATAACTATTTTGTGTGTTGACTTCTAATCATATGTTTCACACAATCTCTTGTTACAATCTCATACTTAAATCAGTTATGACTAATGCCCTCACACGTTGGTCTACTTATGTATAATATACAAATAAATTTTCCGTTGAGTTTTTGTTTTGTTTTGAGTTTGCTGAAAATAATAATGTCAATAATAATAATGAGAGTAATAATAATTAGAATAATAATAATGAGAAAAATAATTACTATAATGATAATCTTAGGCGTTGCGAGCGCGCTCCGTAATGCCGGAGTACAGGGTTCGATATCAGCTGCGGTCGTTTTGTCTTGAGTTGGTTTCGACAGTGGTACCAAGAGCTGACCGTTAAGTAAGCAATGACAAACTACTGAAAGTAAAATTTGCCTAAAAAAACTTCAACAGCCAAAACAATGCTGGGGTTATTTCTGCAATGTTATGTAAAGAATACGCAACTAACAATAATGACAGTAATAGAAAAAGAGAAAAAACGTCTCCATTCATTTTGTATTTTAAGTTAGTTGCGAGTAATTTACACGATGTTTGCAGAATCAACCCCAGAATGTGTGTGTGAGTGGGTACATAGTATGTCATCTTACTAGGCAACTTTACGTCCTGTAATTTGCCATTGAGTCTAAAAGGTCAGCTTTGGATACCACTGTCGAAACCAATGCAAGACATCATGCTGTCTAATCGCCCGCAGTTGGGATTAAACCTAGCATCCTGAAATTAAGAAGCAAGTTCGCAACTCTTTAAGCCACAGACGCCGACTGGATTGTATTTACTGGTAGTGATTCGGTTCTTAGAATCCGTATTTTTTGTGTCATTTCATTCTGGACTAAATCGGCACTATAAGCAAGCTCTGATGATTTAGGGTCAGTTGTGGCTCTGGTGGTATGGGGTCTCTTCTGGTTATGTTAAAATAAATAACAATTATAAAATAGAGAGGTCTATTTTATGATGTGATGACGGTTGTTAGGGGATCTGCTTTCTTACTGTAGTGGTTTGTGGTCAAGAATTAGCATCATCATCAAGTTCCAGGAACGTATGCGAGGATCTCTTCAGTCGTATGTTGTGGTAGCGGTTGTTAGATGATAAACTGTAGCTAAAGGTAGCGTACAACTGAGTCTGTCAGTAGCATGTACTTTGCAGAACTTTGCTCCCATGACAACCCTCCGGAAAACTTCTCGATCACAAGCAACATGTCACGCGTCCGATACATCCATC